AAAACCACTCCCGTTTCTTTGTTCTCCAGCGTCAGCCTCAGGCACCCGCTCACCGGTCCTGCCGCCCTGTTGCCCTAGTATCCAGGACCCCACGCATGCACTGTGTCTGCGCTCTGGTCTGGAATCCTGGGGTTGGGTGTTCAGCAATCCCGGGCTCTCTCTCCCTCCCTGCTGACTCCTCTCCACCCACCAGGGGCCAGGGGGAGGGGTGCTCAGGTCCCGCCGGGCCAGGGCTTGTATCTTACCCCCTTCGCGAGGTACTGGGTTCTCGCAGGTGTGGATGTGGTCTGGATGTTGTCCTGTGTCCTCTGGTCTCTATTTTAGGAAGAGTTGTCTTTGTTATATATTCATAGATATATGTGGTTTTGGGAGGAGATTTCCGCTGCTCTACTCATGCAGCCATCCTGGCTCCTTTATCCCCATCCATTCATTTTTAAAGCCCCTTTGATTTATTTTTTCATTACTGATATCAAATTTTTCAGCTCCAGAAATTCCATTTAATCCTTCATAATTGGTTTGTTTAACTTTTGTGTTTCTTCCTTGGTCTGTCTTGGGAGGTTGTATTTTTCTAGGAAGTTGTCCATTTCTTCTAGGTTTTTCTGTCTCTCATTACATTTATGTTTTTCTTTAAATTATTGAGCACATTTGTAATTGCTCTTTTAACATTTTCATATGTCATATGGGGTCTTTTTCTATTGACTGATATTTCTCCTGGTTATGAGTCCCATTTACTGTTTTGTATATTTAGTAATGTTTTATTGGATGCTGAACATTAAGAATATTAACTTCATGAAATTTAACTTTGTTGAAAGTCTGGATTTTGTTATCATCCTTTTATGAGTACTGAATTTTGTTTTGGCAAGCAATTAAAGTATTTGTGAATCAGCTGTACCTTTTCTAAACTTATTTTTATTGTTGTAAAATGTACATAATGTAAAATTTACCATTTTCCAGACTTATTTTTAAATTTTGTTAGGATGGGCTTAGAATAGCATTTTCTCTAATGCCAGTTGAATGCTACTACTGCAGTGTGACCCTCCATGGGGTCTAATATCCCATGTATTGATTAGTACTGGTGTTAGTATTATCACTAACGTTGACTCTGAATGACATTTTAGGCTTTGTACTAGTTGACTCTTTCAGCTGTACCATGAACTTTACTATAAATACATTCCAAAAAGTAATTTTTCTTCTTGGAAAAGTTAACATGTTTTCCTCTAAAACACCAGCTGAAATCCCTGCTTGGTAATTTTCTGTGATTGCTCATGTGTTGTTTCCATCACAGTGGCTCTTTCATGTGTCTTTTCTTAAATTACCTGCAATTATGGATCATCTAGACAAGGAATCAAATGAATGGGTGTGGGTCCTGCTTTTACCTCTTACTAGTCATAGGATTTCTTCCATGTGAAGTGAGTACAAAAAAGCCTTTTTCCCTGAGTACTGCGGGAGTTCAGCAAGAGCAGAATTTATTAAAATACTCTGTGAATTCTATAAATTAACACCCCAATATTCTTCCAGGTATGGAATAAAGCAATCTATGCATTTGAAAGCATTAGTCTCCTTCTTTTTCCTAATGTTCTTATTTGTGTAGTTGTTTTATTCTCTTCATCTGAGTTAGGAGAATGTTAAAGTGTCCTGTTGAAATCCTCAAGGTCACTTTGGACTGAGCTGGATATGAGCATGCCTCATCCTAATCTGTGTTCTCTAGGTGACCCAGAACTGCTTTTCTGATAGTAAATCAAATTATTGTGCACCTAAAATGAAGCTTACTGGTGCCAAAAATTACTGCTGAAATCAGCGATTTCCATCTGTGGGGATTTTTTTTTCCACTTTAGGTCTATTTGTCAGGCAATAGTTGAAGCTATGATTGATTACATGGACCCTAGAAGTTAGGCTGTGTAAAATTAGAAATAGCTATTGCTTTATGCTAACAATCTTTCTTAGGGGATTTTCACTGTGCTAGTACAGTGAACATGCGTAGGCAGACTTAGTGAGTGTCTGTACAGTAAGAATATTAAGCAAAAACGTTTGTTCAATAAAAGCTTCAGTGTGAGAAGTTAATTGATGAAGTAGAAAATCTGAATTTTTGCCTTGTTTCTGATGGTTGCCTAAGTTATTTCAACTTGTTTGGAGCAAGAAGATAATTTACATATTTTCTTTAGAAAATGAACTCTCCAATAGAATGAGTTCTGCAAAAGGGGATCATAGACTTACTGAAGAGAGTACACACATGCTAAGTGGCCATGTCATGTGACACTTATAATCTAATCACACCCCTCTTTTCTTCTAAGTGACTGACCATGCTATGGGCCACCCCAGGGCCTGGAGTTGGCCTCACAGAAAGTGTAAAGGTGTCATTCAGGTGATCAGTAGCAGTATCTTTTTAGATGCTCAAGTCAGAAACCAAGAGTTAAACATGAATTATTTCTCTTCCCATACTCAGTAAGCCATCAAGTCCATTCATTCTACTTCTCTGATGAAATAGCTCCACTCCCCTCTGTCTTCAGTGGTACCACACTGATACAGCCACCACCATTTCTCAGTGGACTATATATGATGACCTCCTAACTGGCCTCCCTGCCTCCCATCTCTTTACTTCATCTAATCCAGTCTCCTTCCAGGGGGAGCATCTGAAAATTCAGCCTAGGCTTCAAATGCTCCAAATGCCTTCTGTGATCTCCACAGTTTGAATCCCTTAACGTGGTTCATCAGACCCTACATGGCTGGACTGTTTGCCTTGTCTGCTTCCCCCTGTACCACTCCCCTGTCTAACTCTGCCCTCTAGCCTTTTGGGTCATCCATTCCATGTTCTTTCCATTCTTGGTCTTAATGCATGGTTTTCTCTTAATGGGGAACACTTTCTCACCCACTCGCAAACTCATTTGTCCTCTTCTGTCTAGTTTTTCTGATCCTATTGGTCTTGATTTAAATATTGGTCTTCCTACAAACTTTCTCTGCCTGGCCTATTGTCCAGTACATGGTACTCCCTGTGTCTACCTTAGCCCCTGCTACACCCCATTGTAATGACCTATTCACTATGTGTTTGCCCTATTGGGATATTTCGTTCACTACTACATCCAGTGGTGTGTTGGCATCAATTTGTACTGGCTCCTCACAGGCAATTGTCACACCATTTTGCAGCTCCATGTTTAGTAATATCACTGTAGCAGCTTGAAAATAGCCATGGTGGGAGCATTTACACCATGGAAATCAACAAATGCTATAGACCAATATTTATTTAGTTAGTTTTGGAAAGCCAGTTGTTAAAAATTTTCCAGCACATACTGGCTATATCCCTAGGTCCTTATCTACTTGGCATATGGCAGATGTTCAGTTAATATTGGTTGGTTAAATGAATGAAAGATAGGTTTCCATGATCCCAGCTCAGCCCCATCACACAGTTCTTACTGTCAGCTCGAATTCACCTCACTCCTTGGAAACAGAATGAAGTTCCAGTTCCTGAAGACTGGGCTTTCAGCTTCTCCACCCTCCTTTGGGGCACTTCTGGGGCCTGCCCACAGAGACTCCCTCAGTTTTGCTCAAGAAGAACTGGAAATACCTTTCAGTCTGGCAGTCTTGACTTACCTGTTTACTGGCTGCATGAGTTCAAGCAAGTCATGTAACCTCTTTCAGCTTCATTTCTTCATCTATAAAATGAGCTTTAACAATAGTACCTCATTCATAGAGTTTTCATACGAATCAAAGAGGTGATCTGTGTAAAATACCCAGCAAATGGTATGCACCCAGTAAATGTCAGCTAGTACTATTATGTCAAGCTATTCTCAATTAGAACACAGATCTATCATTGATTGGTGGCATAGAAAAATGAACTCCAAATAATTGTCACATTCTATAACCTCAAACTCACAGAATATGACAGAGAGTGTCACATGCTCAGGTCTTGAATCTCTCCTATTTTCCTTTATATTCTCTCTCTAGCTTTTCTCATTCAAACTCATAGCCTAATTGATTCTGTATGCTGATGACTCCCACATGCGTGTCTCTAATCTAGAACTCTTCCCTGATTTCCGGACCCGGATATCCATCTCGCTACTTAGATGTCTAACAGAGGTCTCAGACTCAACACATCCCACACAGGCTTCTCATGCTGCACACAAACCTGCTTCTCCTTCCATCTTCCTCATCTCAGTTAATGGTGGCATCACCCTTCCCTTGCTCAGGTTAGAAACCTTGATGTTGTCCTTACGACCTCCCTTCTCATCACGTTCTGGTGGTCTGCATTCACAATATATCCAGAGTTCTACTACTCATTACCCCCAAACTGCTGCATCATCCAGCCACCTGCAGCCCCCAGGTCTGCTACTGCAACGGCTTTGTGGTGTAAATCTAACTCATGCATTCTTTTGACTTTCTTATGTATTTATGTTTTCCAATTTATGTTTTCTTACATACTTTATGACTTTTGAAAGCTTCTTTGAACTTTTTTGGGAATAAGGCAGGGTGTGACTACATAAGGTGTCCTGTCCGTGTTTTTTGTGCCTGGTGTATCTAACTCTTCTAATCCTTATTTAGGAAGTAGAAGCGCAGTTGGAGGAGGTGAAGAAGAAATCAGAAACTGAAATAAAGCAGCTGGAAGAAGAGAAGGCAGCCCTAAATGTGAAGCTCCAGAATTCTCTGCTTGAGGTAAATCAGTGCAGTGCTGGGAGGGGTGGTTCTGGACCCTGGGGATTTCTGGTTAGCTGAAATACCAGGACTCTCAGGAAAATGCCCCGACCTCCTTGCATCAGCCCAACAAGAAGCCAGTTTTGGGAGTATAAATTTAGCTGCATGTAACAGGGAGCCTGATTTATAGAGGCTTAACAAAGAGGCGTTTAATGTCTCACATAAAATAATGAGGCTGAAGGTTGCTGGAGCTGATTCTGTAGCTAAATGATGTCAGGCCTGGTAAATCTGGGATTTTCTTGATCTCTCCCTCTCCTGGGCTGCATTATCACTTCTATAGGTGTTAGGCACTTTTGCCTTTATAGAAAGCAAATTATCAAAGAAAAATTAATGAAAATTTCTGTTTTATGACTGTATTGATATAAAGATGAATATAGCTAGGTCATATGTTTTTCTTCTGGCTTTAGAAGAAATTAGATCATTTTTGTGGCCCCTGACAGTGTCATGGGCCCAAGGTACTGTGCCTGCATTGTGTACGGGAGAAGTGGCTTCAGTTCCCCCAGGCTTTGAAAATGGCTGTCCCTGCTCTGGATCTCATGTCCACATTTAAAGCAGGAAACAGGGAGGGGCAGCGATGACCAGGCCTGCCCACTTCACCAGGAAACCTAGAGCATTTGCAGGAGCCTCAGCTGTCTCTGACTCCCACTGGTAGTATCTTTGTCACGTGGCCAGCGTGGGACAGCAAGGGTTCAGCTGTCAGGCCTCCAAGGGGGAGGCAGGCAAGGGAGAAAGGGGTGGGGAATGGAGGTAGACCAGCCAAACAGCAGAATGTGCTACCTGGGCCCACCTGTCCACACTATCCAGAGAACAAGATCAAAGTTTAAAAGAACTGCTGACCATGTTATTAGGAAGAAGACCTAGTGGAAGTGGCTAGAAAGGGTTTATTCTTAAACCTGATTAGACAAAAAAATGGAAAGAGGTTTCCCTACTTCCACTGACCTCCTTCACACCTCCTGGATGAGGCCAGCATCTACCACCCCTCAGGAGTCCATGAAATTGGTTCCTTAGCTCTGGCCAAGCATCACAACCTCCTGGGGGAGCTTTTAAGAATACAGAGGCTATGTGCAACGCAGTATTGATTATTTAGGAATAGAACTAATTGAGTTTATTCTAGAGGCATGTATGAGAGTGGTACAACCAAATCTGAACCAGAGATTAGGAGATGGGTCTGAAGGGGAACAGGGCGATGGATCAGGGTGATAGTGATGTTATTTCTTCAGCTGAGTGGTGAGAACACACATTATGTTTTTCTCTAACTTTTTTCTGTGTCACAAATTATCTTTCTTTCTTTCTCTTTTTAAGGGCAAGCATGCCATGCCTTAGACTTGATGTATCAGGGGCTCTAGAGCTGAGGTCTTAGTGGAAAATCTCTACTATAGAGGCATCTGTTCCATCTCAGCCCGAAAGGTGGGCTGCAGAACAAAGAATGCCTTGTCCTGTATCTCCCTGCCTCCGCATTCTCCCCGAGACCGATAATTCCAGAACTAGTGTTCTAAAACCCAAGCCTGCTGAAGGCCCCACTCCTCTTTCCCTGAAACCTTTAATTTCTGTGTTTTTTACAATTTGGGTCCAACCTAACTTGCCAGCACCACCCCTAGGAATCTGCCCTCTCCCATCCACTCCTTCCTGCTGGGCCCCTCAACACGAAGCCCTCCTTCAGTCTCTCAAACATTGTCCCCTCTGTCCTCCCTTGCACGGGCTATTCCTGCTGCTCAGAATGCCCTTTCTCATCCTTGCCACTGACAGACTCCTATTCATCCCTCAGAGCCTCTAAAGCTGCCCCAGATGAGTTTATGCTGTAAATTTCCTACACTAGTACCTCATAGATGTTGTGAGGATTGAAAGAGTTAATATTTTCTAGTATTTTAATGCTTGGGTTGGAGCCTGGCACGGGGCAAACACACCATGAATGGTACCGTTGTTACTTTTTATGTATGTCTACTGAATGTTAATGATCATAAACATGTGTCAGTCTCCTCCATAAGAAGGCAGCTCCTGGAAAGCAGGGACCATATTTTATTCTTACCATTTTGCTCTCACTGTCTCCCTGGTCCTTCCCTCCTCAAACCTAGGATGGTACCCGAGGAGTGTTGGTTGTTCTACAGAGATTTGCCCAATAAAGGAAACAAAACATGAGAGTTTTCTTTATGGCTATTGGCCTTGTTCTGAAAGTCTGGAGCAGGCAAACCAGTCTGATACTTACAATTAGTTGGTTCATAGTAATCATCATCATAAGGCTGTACAATTTAATAGCTTCTTCAAGCCACTCTTCTCACATTTTATTGGTATAATTCTTAAATACTCTTTCTTTACCTTTCTTTTTTTAAATTAAGGTATTATTGATATACACTCTTATGAAGGTTTCACATGAAAAACATAGTGGTTACTACATGCGCCCATATTATCAGGTTTCCCCCCATACCCCATTGAAGTCACTGTCCATCAGTATAGTAACATGCCACACAGTCACTTCTTGTATTCTCTGTGCTACAGTGTCTTCCCCATAACCCCTCACACCATGTGTGCCAATCATACTACCCCTCCCCTTTGGTAACCACTAGTAGCCTTCTTGGAGTCTGTGAGTCTGCTGCTGTTTTGGTCCTTCAGTTTTGCCTCATTGTTATACTCCACAAATGAGGGAAATCATTTGGCACTTGTCTTTCTCTGCCTGGCTTATTTCACGAGCATAATACCCTCTAGCTCCATCCATGTTGTTGCAAGCGGTAGGA